TAACGTACTATATTCATTGTGTCGTTGGATACTAATTCACGTACCATATGTACCGTTTGCCTAACGTGATGTCCTTTGTGATCTGCGCTCGTAGCCAGAAGAAGCTCTCTCGGATGACTTCCTATTCCCGATGACTTCTCGCCTCTCCTACGCTTCCTCTCCGGAGAGCGATTTGGAGCTGAGCCCAGCGCCCGTTATCCCTGGTACTTTGGGTCCACCATCGCGGTTAAAAAGTAGTTCCGATCCGAGTATTGCTACTCAAGACGATACTACTGCACCGCCACCGTATTCGACGAATTATCAGGTATAATATTTTCAGATACAAATAGCGACTTACCTATTAGACTTGATTTTCATCTTGTAAATAAAAAAAATTGATTTCTTATTTAGAGCATATTGAATGCGTTCGAGAAAATTTATTATAAGTGTATTAGAAATTTGATAAAAATATTCAATATACAGTATATCTAATAATTGATACAGCACTCATGTGCAGGGAGAGTAAACTACATTAAAATAAAAGTCCAATGTTATTTTACAATTTTTTATTTAGTTTGCTCTTCTTGCACTATTTTTTTCCTCTAAGTTCTTTTCTAGGTAGAAATGTACGTATAATGTCTCTAATAGATTTCTTCACTTCAACTAGCAATCGTTCGAACAGCAGAAAAGAAGATCCCAAGGAGTAGGCGATAGCAAATACGGCTTCTCCTTGTCCGGTCAAAGGAGCAATCAGTCCGGCTCGCCGGAATATCTGGGCAGCTCCTTCGAGCCTAGATCTCCTCATCATAGTCCACCGGACCTTCCACCACGAGTTGATCGAAATGCGAAGCCGATTAATCAAACCTCACGGGGAACGATAGGGCGATCCGCTCAGGAACGTCTAGGAGTGAATAAAACTGACTCAATTCTAGATATGGGGAATTACATCAACGCAACCCCTCATAAAGCAAATGCTACATCATCTTTGGAACGAGCACAACCGAAAGCGGTAAGCGATATTTCTTCTTTCTTAACGTGCGTGTCATAACTCCAAATAAATCGCTCTATTCAACTGTAAGATACATTTATGCTCTCTTACATAGGGAAGTTACGACAGTATGTCTTCCTACGATTCGTACAACAATACTAATGGGAACGCGAATTACGGGATGGCGAATTTGAACACGTCAACAGGTCGTTTGGGCCCGAATGTACCTGATGATCTCAAAAGCAGCAACATACCAGCGAGAGCGCACGATCCGTATAGATTCACTAGATCTACAGTTCAGCCCATTTCCACGCACGACGCTCAAACGCGAACTGATTATGCCAAATATAGGGGTGTATTTAACAATAATATACCCAATAAACTAAAATATATACATTTATTTTATATATACATTTTTCTTGATTATTATAAACTTACTTTTTGATATATTGATGTTTAATTAAGAATTTAGAAAAAACTTGTTATACTTATATATCTTTTTCTTTATAAGATAAGAATATTTTAAAGAATTTTTTTAATATCTTGAAATCATTTTTTTTACATAGAATAATATTATAATTGATATTATTTATTTTTATTTTTTTATGAAATTTTTTATTTCATCTGTAATGTCTAAGTGTAAGTGTAAGTCTGTAAATTCTAATACGAGATCATTTCTTGTGTTTACAGCCGATCCACCGACTACAAATCGATACCAATTTCACAAAACAAACCGCCAGGCACTTATAAACCGATTCCGCCTCCAAAGCCGAAGAATTACAGGCCACCTCAAGCGTCGCTTGCACAAACGGAGAACAACGGAAACGATGGGAGTAATTCATATCAACACTCGAAGAGTTATTCTATTGCTACATCGCATGTACATAATGGGGTAATTATTATTTTAAAGATTATAAAGATGATTACTCTTTCTTTTTATATTATTCTTATCATTGTTATCAATGTCTGCTGTGATTCGCGAGTCAATGAAAACCAAAAGGCAATCGTACCGATTATCTATCACGAGATCGTTGCAATTTTATGTGAACTTTTCTATTTAGGTAGAAAGCAACAGTAACGTGCAGCGCAACAGCGGCCAGTATTACTACAACATCCCGCCACCCGGTCGTCACAACGACGGCAATATTGTGAATTCACATCACAATTTAAGTCATCTTACGTCGCCGACACACAGCCACAGCCTCAGTCACACGCATTCTCACTCAAGCCCGCCGGTAACCACCACGCATTCCCACAGCAACAGTACCGGTCAGATCAGTCTCGGTTTGCCTCATAACCGGAACAGTACGAATCACAATGGATATATGCACGGTAATAACCACGCTCCCGCAGGTCCGCTCTATCCCTCCGCTAATCCTGGACACAATAGGGAACCCAGCGGTCTGGACCTAGCTGGTAGCCGAGAGCAAAGAGGAAGCGCTTTCGAACTATACCGAAAGCCGGTCCATCATTACAATATGAGGTGAGTATAGGCATGAATAGAGAAGAATTCACTCGGAAGAGAAAACTGAAAAATACAGCGATGACCTCGATCTTGTCCTTTGCACGGGCATTAATATTTTTAAAAGCGCAAAATATAAATCTTGGAATATGGAAGAATTAAAAAAAAGATTCTCCTGTTAATTAGAAATAACATACGATGTTAATTATGCGATACAAACCGGTTTTTTTTACTTTTGCAATCTTTTTTTTAGTATTTTTCAATCTCGTCGAATGTAGCTCAGTAGGAATGTTGTTGTATGTTACAGTTAACGTGTATCCTGATGCAAGACTTATTATATTAGGATAAATTAACGAATTTATTAGAGTGTGCAGAGGAATGAATCGTGCAATGTCGTAAACATAGATAAAAGAAGAAACGAAGTTGTGCGTTAGCTAATACGTAATATTACGAAGAATACTGTGCCTTTTAAAAAAATTAAATTTTGGTTATAGAAATACCATGACACCAACGGAACGAAACGTTTTTTTTTTACTTAACGAAGTACTTAAATACGTTATACACGAAGAACAAATTTTACGAAATAGAGCATTTTTTTTATCATAACAAGAAAGATAATGTGCTAAAGATTATCTTTTTTAATATGTAAGTAGAAATCTTACCATACATTTATGTATCATGAAAGCTTATCCTTAATGGTGATACATAAAATACGCGCGTACGTTTAATAAGAATAATGTAGAATAAATCTTAAAGGCAGATGAGTAAGTGCAATGTAACGTAACAATACTCAGTCCATTGTACACCAGGTGAAATCTGTATAGTTATATTAGTTATATTTTCGCACATTTATGCTGAAAATATTAATAACGCCAGATAGATAAAAAAGAGAAAGCAATTTTATAAACTTATTACGAAAAACGTCAACATAAGTATCAACGAATGTTTAACAGTTTACAATACTTACCGCTTATTCTTTAAGCAAATTATAGAAAGAATGCTTTTAATTTGTATGGCAATTATATCTACATTATTGATATATTATTGACGTATGTGATAACGATTAATAAATAAAACTTTCTATTGTTATTGGACAAGCGTATAGAGCATGCCTGACTCTAAATTTTTTGAGGGAATATTTTTATTGATGAGATAAATGAATATAATAAATAGATATAATGCAAGAAATCAATGATAATACATGATAATATACGTTGTTTTAATATGTTGTGTATAATAAAAACATAATGTTGTGTGTATATTATTAAATAGTATGTTACTATCGCTAGTATCATCATGAATATCATTATGAAGATACAATTAATATAAGTGGAATAAATGTAGGAAATTAAAATTTTTATTATGTCCCCATAAATGACTAGAAATGGCAAAGAAAGGAATTTTTGTAACATATAAGAATTTCATATCGTGAAATTAAGGAAAGCATATTTTCCTCAAAATATTTGGAGGTAATAGTTCTTCAAGAGAAGTTTTTAAAGGAAATACTTTTTTTTAATCAGGCACGCTCATGATTATTTATTATAAACTGTATTATGCGTTATTAGTAGTAAACCAAATGGTCTTTTTAGAACTAGGGTGAGGTATTATAAAGAGCTTATAATAGCATTAGATTACAAACAATCTGTGTCATCGTATACCAATACTCTTGTATCACAAATTAAAGCGTAAACAAATTATATTGTTGTTAACGAGGTACGACAGAGAGTAACGTTGCACCCACCATTAAATAAAAGAAAGTAGCATAAATATAATTATAAGTTTGATTATATTGACGTGGTTATTATTCATGACTATTAAATTTAAATGTATGCGATTCATCTCGCGCTACCGTAGCGAGGCTGTAGGATTTATTATATAAAAAAGACTAATGTGATGTTTGCATGGCAGTTTATGAAAAACAAAACAAGAAATTCCAACAAAAATATTTTTAACCCGACACAAATCTCGTTTTTTTTTTTATCAACGAATGGACGAGATGTACGATTGAAACATGTATGATAATTCCTACATGATTAATGAATGTTTGAAGCTTAATAATTTATTTTAATTTGTACCTTTTCCTCTCACTACGGATATCTTCCCCAATTTCGAACACATATACGGATTTTCGCTATTACTTTTTAACCGTTTGCGAGCAGATTTTTCTTGAACATGTGAAATTTAAAAAAACGAATTTTTTTCTTATGAAATATAATTTTAAAAATCTAATATATCTCACATATATATTTATCTTAATAAATTTGCGATCATATTAATAATCGATTCTTTTTAATCACGCGATAGCTCAAAGAAATTGTCACAGTTCGGTACTAGAAAATGGTGTCGAAAAATAAAAAAAATAAAGGGATAAGAAAAAATGATGAAAAGAACCACAGCTGCAATTACTTTAAAGATTTTGTAATATTTTCGTTTACATATAGCCATAAAGATTGCTAATTCTTTACACAAGATAAAAATAAGAAAACTAGATAACGGTAAGCTTTAACAAAATATTCTATTATGCCAAAATATTCTATTATGCCTAATGAAAAACGTTTAAAAAATATCACGTTGAATCTGCTTAATATCTTTAATGTACATGTATAATTGACTATAATTGGCTAGTTTAGTAGATGTTTATAACAATTAAGATCCCGATACATTCATAGTTTAACAACGAGCATGATTCGTGGGCAGGATCTCGCATATAATTTATAGACCATATATTTTATAAAGTCTATAAATGAGGAAGAGATGAAGAAATGCTATTATTATATGGAAAGACGCATAAACGATCTAAATACTGAATAATACGTAATTGGTACAATTGTGAAATATTTGTAATCATACATTTTCCTAATGATTTGATATTTCAACATATCCATCGACGATATATTTTACGTTGCAAGAATACAATGCATCAGACGAATGTTATATCGATCCAATGTACAATATTTGATTAAAAATTTTAATGCACTTTGCGGATATGGACGTAAAACATAGAGATATATTTCCATTCAATCATATACGAATCCATTATAATTTGCGACTTGCAAGAATTACGGCAATTTCAATTAATACTTTTTTACTTTTCTTTGTATATAAGCGATCGCGAGATCCCGTTTAACAACATTCTTATTGTAATATTGAAGAGCAAAAATTTCAAGCAAAAATACAACTACGATCTACAACGATTATTGTCAAGTTTTCCCAGAGTATTTGAACGGCACGAATCGGCGATATGGCGATTTCACTTCAATCCCAGCAGCCACTCAGCTACACCGAGATAATAGACGGTTTGTGCAATTCCGAATAACGGCGCTATGACTATCATTCGGCAAGCGCCGCCTTTGAAGAATGCCGTCGGCCCCTCGTTCCTAAATGTCTTCCTACAAGTCAAAGATAATGATTATAAAACTAGATTTTTATTTATAAAAAAAAATTCAAATTAAAGATAAAATTTCAATCCACGAAAATCCATGAAAATCCCTGATTTTCAAAAGTAAAAAAGGAATCCCCTGAAAATTTCTGGTTTTCCAGGTTTTTCCAGATAATAAACACCCTGTAAACTTAGTAATAACTGAATAAGGAGAATGTTTAATTCCGAGGAACTCACAATATACAGTCTAACACTCCATTGTACGTTGGATCACCAGGTGCTTTTTTGATAACTTGCAGTCTAGTTTTGATTACGTCGAACGGATTTACCATTAATGCAGCCGTCGATCCGGCGGCGCATCCGGCAAGGAATGAACACCAGAATACAGCTATAATTAACAGCGACATTATTACTGTTTAATATATTTTCGCTTAGGGTCGATTGTGTGATAACATAATTATATCGCTACATACATGAACCGTCTTCTCGCTTTGGCCCAAGATTATTCAGTCTAGCGAACAGCGGAAAATAAATAACAGAGAACGTTACGTCTCTAAGTGCCGTGGCGCCAGTTCCTTGGTACAACCCTAGTATACCTCGTTTCTTAAGTAGATCTAGCGTTAATGACCAAGCGGATACCTTTGGCACAACTTTGCCCGCTGTAACAGTAATACGATATGCAATTTATTGTTAGAAGCACGGATAAGTATAATAATTTTAAAATGGATTTATTTCCACATTTTAGAGAGCGAATCGTACGAGCCGAACGAATTATATCGTTTAATTATATTTCTAATTTTAATTGAAAATATATAGTCACCCATGGCAATTAATCGACATCATAAAAGATACAATAAATAAGAATTGCGCGATTGTTGCTCAAAATTGCAAGTTTATTAACAATGCAATAATTGTAAGAAACTTAGATATATATGAATAGTTGCGAAGAAGATTCGACAAGCCGCGAAAAGAGGATTTTAAGAAGTTATTGACTGCTTTCGTCACCTTCTTTAGCTGCCATAGCGACTCTGCCAGCGTCTTGCATTTGTATTTTAAGCAGTTCCATCGGAGTGGTAACAATTATTTGGCATGCTCCTGCCAAGCCACCGGCGAGCATTTCACGTTCTATTGGCAATTGTTGTCTGGACAACAGATTAAGAGAGTCCTGGGATCACGGAGTATTGTAAAAAGTTTTAATACATATAAATAAGACTGGCACACGACTGACTTCAAAAAACCAAGGAGAAAAAGTGTTTTTAAACTTCAGAAAATTGTTTTTCGACTGGCTAGTGGTAACAGATAAGTTTGATTGAGATCAATTTTTCCAATTAAAAACAAGTTCGGGTACTAATCCAAAACCGATCAAAACCGATATCTCAAAATCGATTTTCGATTATCATCTCGGTCGTTCATTATTATTCAAGCATAATTATCAGTGTAGCGATTCAATCGTGTATTATTAGACAAATATTCAAATTGATTTTTAAAAAAATTAACTTCTCGAAATTTTTAAGGGTATGTGTAAAGTGTTCTGTTTATCATGGTGTACCAGTTCTGATATAAGGGAGATCATTCAACGCTAGTGGCATGATAAGCAATATGTTAAATATCTTAACGGACCGCAGAGCATCAAAATACATTGGCAAAAAACGTAAACGAAGCAAATTGTTAACTTCATCATTCGCAATTTATGTATAATTCCAATAGAGCGTGATGTAACACGTATACTAATAAAAGCTATAAATAGTCGAAATTATTCAATATATTAGAAAACAACTTTAAATGAAGCAAATGAGATAAGCTACAATTTATAATTGTAAAATAGAAAATTAACAATTACACTGCATTATACATAGTGCTAGCTGACATTTAATAAATTTTCAACAATTCTCTATCTCTCTCTTTCTCAATCAGACTATTACTAACTAATTATAATTTTGTATAGTTTCTGATATGTCATTACTCTTGGATTGTTTAAAAAAAACCATTTCGTAAGGAAGAAAAGGGAAAAGCAAAAATTACCCTGCTCTCGTCGATTGCTTGCGACTTGGTTAGCTAGTTATAGTTGCTCGCACCGTTTGCCAGGTCATTTAACTCGGAAATTACATTCAAACGGGTATCTTCAGTTGTCTAGAATTACAGAATAATATATTTCAATATGTTTTACAACAATATAAGATTCTGGCATAATAGCGCGAGCTCAACTTCGTTCCCTCGTCTTTTTCGTTGTACAAAAATGTACAGAATGAGCTATGCTCGTTGTTTTAAAATTTAATAATATTTTGACCTATTTAGAATCAGAATTATAGAATTACAATATCTATGAAAATAATAAATAATAACTTAAAATAATCAATTTTTATTAAGGAAATTAATTTTGAGAATATATATATTATACAAAATATACAATAACTCTGTAAATTTAATCAGCAAAAGTGAGATATTTTATAAACTCAAAATTAATATTTAAAAGAATACAAGAAAAATGCAATGCCATTTGCATATTCTTGAACATCAAATAAGTCTTATTTCGAATATCGCTGGATTATTTTCAAATATCGTTGGATCCACAACAATGTAAAACTTTTTTTAGTTACTAATAATTTTTTAGTATATCAAATAGATATACATATATTTTGGGTGTAATTTACTTGGAAGACAGTGTCGATGTTAAGTGCAAGCAGTTATCGAAACAAATAAATAACAGAGATTAGCAATAAGGATAGATATACTATAAGGTATTCTAAACAAAATGCTATGATGCTCTGCTGATCAAACAGCACTACATTACTAATTTTTGGGGCTTTCCAATCACGATTTTTTTTTAAAGAAATCTATTGCTGCATATTGTTATATTTTCCTGATTAAACAAAATCATCATTTAATTAAATTTTGTATTAACTAATACTTCTGCGATGATGGTAATATTTTTTTATATTAGATAACATTTAAAATTTATTGAAATAATAAAAACTTGATTGACAGAGTGTATGCAAATTGGATATGTAAAGAGGAACTGTAACATATTATTTATTATACATATATAATTTTCTTCATAAAGAAACTAAAAAGATGTAACATTTTCAAATTTTTATTCTAATAATCTTCATACCTGTGTATTGATTGAGCCAAGTTGACTACATAGTAGACAACTTGGCTCGATCAATACTCTTTAGCTTCTCGCTTTGCTGTTGACGTAATTTAAATTTGCTGTGGCTTCATAGCTACACTAATTCATCCATTAATCAGAATAAAACCTCGAAATGTTTAATTAATTTAACGTAATGTTGATTATAAATTTTGTAACAGTTTGTAAACGCTTGTGTTATCTCAGTTTATAATACAATGATATAATAAACATTTCCCTTTATTATAAATTATAAAATAAACTGAGAAATTGTGTCGATGTTGTAAACAGCTAATTGGAAAGCCCGTTCTACAAAAATTTTACATTATTATTTCAACTAAAATTTTATTTCTTGAAACATATTTCATGCTGAAACCTACTTGCCATAAACTTTGAATAAACCCCTTTAAATACAAAATATTTAATACAATGAGAAGATAATTGCTATGGAGAATTAGGGCTTTGAATGAAAACGAAAAGATGACACATACAAGAAAAGAAAGAAGTAATAAATTGTCTGAAAAATAAGTTTAATAGAATGAAAGGATTGTTAAGTATTATGTACATACTCGTAGGATGCTAAAGATTTTAATCTAATTAAAACTAAATCTATAAAATTTAGAGAAATAAATTATTAATGAATGCTAGATCACTATAAATACCTTTAATGACTATCTTTAAAAATATTTTGGCATTGTACCTACATAATGCGACTAAACAATTCTCATGCCACCTCTCACAGGTTAACTTCCGCTTTGATAATGTTATGCACAGAGAGGAGCACATACCACAAGCTCATATCATTGACAATATGAAAAATACATTAGACAATGTATTGTTTGCAACATACCCAGGTCCAAGCGAAAGATAGTGCCTAAATGTATCATTGGCAGTAAGTTTGATTGCTTTCTCAGGAGTGATCAACAGTATATTTACAGCGGATCCTTTATACATTCCAAAGTAACCTTCTGCTTTGTAAGTCTTTTTGAAGCAGTCAAACCTAAAAATAATTTAATATATTCGATTATGATAATCTTTTTGTTTTGTACTTCTTGCATTCCATACATTTATTTCACATTAAATGAAAAAAGCAAGAAAGCATAAGTGAAATTAAGAAATTTATTATATAAAATAATAAAACAATTCTCTTTAAATTTGCATATAATTTGTGATTATCAATAGGTTAAATATAATACATAATTTTATATACATAATATTTCAAAGCTTTTTTGAATAATTAGGATATTTTATTTTTAATTATATAATAATATGCACTGATATAACGATTATATTTAATAGTTATTAATTTTTAAAATAAAATACTTACATTGACTTATACATGTGTTCGCCATTCGGGCCAATAACTTGATTCTGCAATCTTGTTTTTACCAAATCAAGTGGAAAAACCACGGATACTCCAATAATTCCGGCAATGCCTCCGTTTATAATTTTTGGTATAAGTCTGGAAGATGCAAACTTATATTACATAAACGGTTTTTATATATATATGATTTTTTTATATTAAAATATATCTCTGAGAAGAAGAATATATTCGTTATTTTATACTTTTTAATAATTTACGATATTTAAAATAAAACTGTAACACTTCTAAATCAGCATATTCTAATTTGAGATTCATTATTTTACAAGATATTATTTTGCAAGTAAGATTTTATACAAAAACGACATACTTGAACTGCTCTGCGGGTTTCGGGGCTGAACTGTCCTGTGCCATGGTTGATTTAAATTATGGTCCCGCACCTGTTGAAATTGACGTAATTAATAAAAAAACAATATAAGTGACTATTGTCAAATTGTTAATAAGAAAAAAGAAGAGTTATAATTTTTTTATCTCATAATGATAATTGTTTTCTTGACGAAAATTGTCTTAAAATTCTTCATATGATGTTTCAGAATTTCTGTATAAATTCAGAATTTTTTAGAATTTCCATATAATTTTATAACTTGTTAAAAAAAATTTCAGATTTTGTTACAGTATATTTAAATTGGAACATCTTTCTTTATAAATTCTAAAACAGAGTTCTAAAATATTTCCATTCTATAATTTCTAAAGAGAAAATCTATAAAATTTCAAGAAGTTTAAAGTATTTTTCAGAAATTTTCATAAATGTGAAATATGAAAAAATTTTGTAAATATATGTATTATGAAAGATTGTAAGAATTCACGAGGTAAACAGCATTAGTGATTAACGTCAAATTGTTGATAAGAAAGAAAACAGTGTTGTAATCTTTTCTGCCAGATAATGGCAATTATGTGAGTTCCACAAATATGAAGTGCGCAAAGCTGCTTTAATTCATAGTGGAAAAGTCTTGAAATATTGAGAAGGTATATTTGTCTACAAAATTGAGAGTAATGTAGTTAAGTGTGACATTACGAGGACACGTTAAACAGTAGTTCAAATATTGTGCCAAAACTTGAAGGCCACTTCATTATGTGTGTCGTTTACTTGGTTGTCTACAATACACGTAGTAAGAAGTAAGAGTAAGAAATTGACCAATCACAGTGTGACAAGAATAGTTGACTGTGCTTAGTCAATTTCTTACTCTTACTTTTTACTCCATGTATTGTAAACAGCGCATTACATAAACCATTTTTTTGTAGCGCATCAATCGTACAAATTGCACTTTCTGGGTAAAGATTAACGCGTTGTGTTCGTACATACTGTTGTCATCAATTTTCAGTGATAAGACGTATTGCAATCGATAGATTACACGAGTAGAAAACTTCGAAAGATCTTATGAAATAACAAAATCTGAAATTATCTTCCTCTCGTATAACATTATCCTTTTTTCGTGTAATGAAAACTGAACATTCTTCTCTCTTGGCACCTGACGAGAGCCAGGTGTTCGTCTATATTCGCGTTTATACTTCTCTGCAGAACTTCTATTTTCGTTTCTTCTTTATTTTCGATAGTGAAAGACCCGCGGTACAATAATCGCCATTGATATATATTCTTGCTGAATAATGTTCTAATTGCCCGACAGTGACTCACGATTTTTCCGGAACTTGTTTCCATTGTTTAAATCATGTATTTTGATACATCGTATCGCCTCGAAAATTTATTCTCTTCCAAGGCCGTAGATGTCAATTCAATTAATTCGATCGCGTGCAAGACCATTATCGTTTCATTACACAAAACGGGCATTGACATCCCACAATAGCGTAATCAGTGCGATGTCAGTCGAAGAGAAATTGTTATCGAAGACGTACACGTGCACACACACGCAGCGGGAACAAATTACCAATCTGTTGATTGTACCGCGCAATTGATTTCGCTTCTATCTACTTCTCTCGATCTCTTACATAACATTGTACAGCTGTAGGACGAGTCGCTATCACACCCTAGCGAGTTACAATTCATCCCGAGTGGCCGAGTCCCATCCCAACCCAACGAACGGAAAAAGGGAATTTAACTTGGAAGCAATTTCTCTATATCTTCTTGCAGAGAAACAGGTTTCTACGAAGAGCAAAAATAAAACTGATGTGTCTAAGCGCAGTTAAGCGCGAAAATTATTGTTTCCATTCGAATAATGTACCTAATTCTTACATTTAATTGAGCATTTGAATAAAACACTTCTTATTCTACTTGCGCCAAGAGTACACGTTATGTCGTTTTAAATAAGACAAATTTTAAATAAGACAAAGTTTTTTTTTCACATGAATCACGTTACACGGTCTCAGATTGAAACTATAATTTTATGATTACTTTAAGTAATTGACCATTATTTAAAAAAAAAACTCACATCGATTTGGTGCACACGACGCTCCAAATTAGCGAGTAAATACGTATCTTATATCAATAGTCCAATTCTGTAACTGTTAACAACAGTTCGGAATCGTTGTTGCGTAGATATTATACAAGGTAAAAAAGCTATTCAACATTCCGAAATGTCATTAACCCTTTGTTGTCATCACAGGTCAAAATGAGCTGTCCGAATTTCGGGCTGTATAACTTTACGGCGTCGTTCGTAATTGCCTTATGCAATATTAATCGGAAGTTTGAAGTCTCTTTTGTTGGTTGAGACAATTAGATTTATTTAAAAACGTGTCAATACACGTATGACAACTATTTAAAGAGAAAACAATACGTTCTTTACATGTTGAAAAAAATTTCTTTCGGAAACGCGCACTTTATTATAGTATCTTACGTATTTTTTTCTGTACGTATTTTTATCAATACATATTTTTATCTGAAAATATTTTAGGAGATTTTTATAAATGTCCATTAAATTTTAAGTATAAATAAATAGATATATATTATTATGCAGATACTATAAATGACTTAGGGCATAATTTTTATTATATTTTATAAGTTGTGGTCTCAGCATGTATTCAGAACACATAATATATTTACATGTTTATAATACATACATATATAGTCGCTATATAAGAAATTTATAAAATTGAAGAATTTATTACAGTCGTAAAAAAACACAAGTAATAATGCCAATGACCGATCTTTACTCTGAAAAAATTCACGAGCGACTAAAGATCAATGCGATCGACCAGGTCACCGCGTGCGCGCAAAGTCTTTGCAGGTTATGTTAAAAGCCAAGTCGCAATGATCAGCTGATCGAATTACTGTGCCATCGACATTCGTCATTGTGCGAAGTAACAGACGCGTTCAGAGAAATAAACAAAATCCCACGGAAGATTGAAAATGATCCACGTGTCCCGGCTAACACCGGGTTAACACGACTGACTGCTAGCACTATGTAATTTTTTATTATTTTTCAGCCTCTCCAAAGCGCGTCCCTGAAAAATAAATACTACGAACAAATACTACGCGTTCGATTCTTCTAGAGGAAATAAAACGCCGTTCCCTGCCTCTTTTCGCTTGGCGCCTTTTCTCGCGAAAGAAAAGAATTAACGCCTCCTAATCACGAAATCAGCAGCGAGCGAAGTCGCGCAAGTCGCGCGACTCGGCGGTGAACAAAATTGGCGGGTCCTTACCGGTCAGACGAATTTGACGTGCACGCAGTGGTCCGTTCCACGACTAACGTTCCTGTTGACACTGTTATGCCCGCTCCTGATTCTCGACGAGCCGAGAGATACGAGCCGAAACGGCTCAATTAGCCGTGGGCCACTGGAAGACTCGTTTCTTTCGCGTCGACCGATTTTGATTCCGCGAACAGCATCAGCAACATCAGCGCGATCCGTTAATGACACTTTCGACAGATGCTCCGAACATCAAGGCGATCTTTCTCTAAACATTTCGCGAAGCGGTTATGCGCGCGCATACGAATGACGGTCCCGCAGGGCATACCAGGGCATACCGCCCGTGGGAGTCATGGGAACGCCGAACGCAAATTGCGGAAATCCCTCTTCCAGTCTCCAGATATTCCGCATCATCTTCCCTAGATTAGATCGCTATTTGCATTGCTTGAAGTCTCCAAATATTTTTGCGCTTAAAATAAAATAAATATATATTTAGGCGTGGAAGAAAAAGAAAACAGAAATATACCGACAAACGAGTGCAAAAAGTACAAACAATGCGACAGACATTATTTACGTCAACCGATGACCCGACGACCATCGATGAAGTATCATTGAAGACAGCCAGCGGCAGCTTTACTAATCTTAGAGAATGTCAAGTTGACTCAATAGATAATTGCAGAGTAAAGAAAGATGTTATCGACTGTCGATGTAACTCGCAGGCACATTTTACAATACTTACTCGTCGTAAACAAAAATCATATAAGATATATATAGGATAAAAGTTAGTAGTATAAGAAAATGAACAGTATATTATAAGAAATTTCTTATCTATGTTCTAAAAATAATAATGGAAGGATGTCTTAAAAATAAATCCCTTAAAATTGGACTCCGAGATAAAAGCATAAGGTCTTTTTTATTAATAGTATAACAAAGCATAATATGATGCTTAACACTTACTCCAAATTTGCTGTATTATTTCTCTAATAAAAAAAGTATGAGATTGTTATCAACTTAATTACTATCATGTTGCAGAATGTTTGACAAATGATAATTTCAGACATAAATTACTATCTAAAGTTGTCACATCATAAAGACATTAATTTTCCAATAATTTAGTTGTAACAATTCTGATAGCAATACATGCCATGATTTGCGAACAATAGGCTTGTTCTTTTGGGCTGAACTTTTGCACAGTTCATCTTTCTTCCTCTTCTTTCCTCCTGGAGAGAAAAGGAAGAAAGATGAACTGATACAAAAGTTCAGTCAAAAAGAACAGGCCTAATTATATGACAGCAATAACACAGACAAATATTTTGTTATCTGACTATATATTTGATTTCCACCTTGATGTTAGCTTTTTTTTTAAATTCTTATTTACGTGATATTGGCTTTTTATCTTATTTTATAGCGTTCTTATCTTTTAAATTAGATTTAATTACGTCTCATCGTTTCTCAACATATCATGTTCCTTTATAGTTTAATAATAGTTAATTTGCAAGGTTGGGTAATGCTAAGTTAAGAAGATAAAAGTTAGGTTAAAAAGTTAAAAAGTTAATTAATTTTAACTTAACTTAGTTATATTTTAGACTCTTAACTTTTTAACTTAATTTAATTACATTTTATCCGTAACTATTAATTTTTTATTTAATTCTTTGAAGTTCAATCTCAGACATAATATACGCGGCAATAGCGATAACTTAAAATGAGATGAAAATTGCAAAAGTGAGCAAATTTATTAGGTGTTGACCAATGAAATTATATATTTTAGTGAATTTGCTCACTTTTATAATTTTCACCTCTTTCAAATTACAAAATCGACCCTCAGATTTCAATCTGTCAGAAACCGTGTATTTCGATATGTATTTAGTTTCTGATAGGTTGAAATCTATTATTCCCTCGTACTGTGTCGACATAAACAGTATATATAAACAAAACATGTAAATAAAATATAGAGTATTTTCTAAATAAATTTTCTATATATTTGTCATTTTCGTTATTTGTAAGACTGGAACTCTGGAATCATGAATTAAAAAAATAAAAAAAAGCAAATTTACTTTTAAAATTTTAACTTTATTTAAAACAAATTTTTCCAAGAATTATTAATGGAAACTGATATATATTAGATTAATATTATATTAGCTACGTTCAGCATTGTAAATCTCTCAGATATGCTAATAGACGTTTATAAGCGGAAATATATATGAAATATATGTGATAATATGTATAATTTATTACATCATTATTCCAAATGCTATCCTACATAATTCTGAAAATCAGTAAAATTGATCTAACTGTACTAATTTTTCAGCTTTATTTATGAAAAAAATATATTTTAATTATATGCGTTCTATCTTTTTGACAAAATCTATTAACCAGATATGGCACACTGTACATGCATTAACATTACAGAGTTCGTGGATTATTGAAGCATTTAAGCAGTTTCTGTACGATCACAAAGGTCAAACAGCTCTGGATGTAATACAGCTCAGGATGGGTAACGTGTGAAATTAATTGTCTAATTCAAGAAAAAAACTCCAAAAAAATTCAAGAATCAATTCCTGTAGCGGTAATTAGTCAAAATCAAAGAAATTAATGGCTGTTTAGAGCATCTACGAGTCGCTGCGTCCATTCCTGATGTGTGTGGAACAGCTACAGAAATTTATTAGAAGTCTGTGGTTCTACTGCAGAATAACTTGTTCTTTTACTAAAATTTGTGGAAACAATCAATCGCAGGCAGCGAAAATTTATTTCTCGGAACAGTAAGAAATGAACAAAAACAATCGAATTATCATATTAAGTGTGCGCGAGATATCAAGCCACTAACTGAAAGAAAAGAGTTTCTCCCACATCGAATTCACCCAGCAGCAGGTGGACGGATTTATTACGCACGGATTGCAGACTCTGATTTTCATTAAAGTAGGCAAGTCATTAAAGCAGATATTAAAAATATTCCGTGCGGACACTAAGTGATAGATCTTGCTATGTTTCTGCTGCCAATCTGCTATCACAGATTCTGTCAGCAGGTTCTGTTTGATTTCTGCTGCCAGTCTGTTTGCATAAAATGTTAACAAGTTCTGTTGGTAGAACAGGAGCAGAATGCGACATTAGTTATGGTTAGTCTGCTAACATCTTCTGATCAAATCTGCTACCAATCTGTCGACATCCTGCTAACATTCTGCTATCTGAGTAAATATGTTATGTGTATAGGTGATATATAAAAAGAGATCTCTAAATTGGTGATTGATACATTAATGATAAATTCTTTGTAAGATTTTAATACGAAAATTCTAATACAAAATGTTGAATTTATAATAGTCCTCAAGTGAAAAGAATTTAAGAACGATACGGTTAAAATGTAATAAGAGTAAAACTTCACGCGTTTAGAGATAATAAAATCTTTAATTAATGATAAATGATAATTTTTTATTTAATAATTTTATATATGTATATGTATATATGTATTAAAAGTATAAAAATTTAATATACGTTAATTATAACTTTATCGACAAATTCAATCTTAAGCTGGAACAAAAATACTTTTATCGACCAATATCATTGGGAAAACTTATTATCATGCATATGAATATAATAAATGTAGTAATAAAAGTCGACATATATTAACATTAATATCTGTTATTTAATTATTAATATAAGATATTGAACTATATATATTAATTAACAACTTTCTAAATCTTTTTACGACTAATTTTTTACGGATAAACAAATATAATTTTGAAAACTTTTAACATTTTTATTCTTTATTTCTTCCGATAAAGTTTAATTTATTTCACTAGTGCAGCGCGTGCAAAAAGTTGATACATTTTTTAATGTAATTAAAGAATCATAAATGCATTTCAAAATATACATATGTATATATTTTTAAATTGCATTTATAATTCTTAATAATTAGCATATAATTTTTAATAATTCTTAGTCTTGCAATCTCTGACCTACTTTTTGCACGCTGCACTGGTAATATGAATTAAACTTTATCTAAAAAATCGTGTGGACTATTACACTGAATATCCTGCATAAGTATAGCGTATTTATATATAAAAAATATATATCTATATATACAATAAACATAATTGCAAATTTAAATATCTTCGTAATCAATTAAAATGTGTATGTCCTTGCGTTTGAGCGTTATTCAGCTTCTTATCTGAAAATGTTTCAAATGAAAGATGTAAGATCTGAATGAACGTAAATATTAATTTAATTTCGGTATATAAATATAAATCTTCCAAAGAGAAAAGACATCGTGCAACATAGAAGTAAAAAAAAACAAATGTCTGATTTAAAAAATTTTGATACTTAAATTTTATTTTTTTATTACATACTATTTTTCTTTCTTTTATATGTTGCAAAATATGACGTACTGAATAAATGTTAAGTATAAATATTATTACATAGTTAAAAATATCTTATGATTTAAAAATTTAAAGGCCTTCTTCTATTTGTAAGATTTATTATACAAAATAATTTATTATTCTTTATTGAATTAATTCTTGTTTTACTTAAATACAAAAAATATGTTGTTTTCTTTATATCAATTTACCCTACACAAATAAATTCTACAATAAAGTTTAAAATTAAAATTAAAATTTTTTATTTTAGTGTTTATAAATGTGCTTGATTAGTAATCATAATCTTCTCCCTTTTAAACAATATAAATTTTTTATATAATATTTTAGATAAAATGGCAGAAATAAATACTTTAGGATGGGTCGATTATCTGGTTATAGCATCGATGCTGTGCATAAGTATTGGAATTGGTATTTATTATCGATTTAGTGGAAAACGTCAAACATCTGTGGAGGTAATTATTATTATTATTGCTAGATCTCTCTCTCTCTCTCTCTCTCTCTCTCTCTCTCTCTCTCTCTCTCTCTCTTTCTCTCTCTCTCTCCTTGTTAAAGAAAATCCTTAAAATAGGGCTTTTTTTGTATCGCTTTTTAATAAAAGCTAATGTTTCACAGGAGTACTTTGTTGCAAGTCGATCAATAAGCGTTATACCAGCCTCTATCGCTATGGTGGCTACCTTCATGGGTGGTTCTGGCTTGCTTGGGTTATCCGCTGAGACTTATATATATGGGACGCAAATTGCTGCAATAATCCTGGCATTTCTGGTAGCCACTCCGATTATATGTTACGGATTCCTACCAGTATTCTACAAGCTACAGGCAACAAGCGCGTATGAAGTAAGTCTGACAAAATTAAATTAGCCGGTAGGAAATTTTTGACGGCACGTATATTAAAAGAAATATCTTTTCTTTTAGTATTTAGAAAGGCGTTTCGGAGTAAAAACTAGGATGGTGGCTAGTTTTGTTTATTGGCTTCAACAGCTTTTCCATTCAGGTGTGGTGCTTTATGCTCCTTCTCTAGCCTTGGAGACGACCACAGGAATTTCCAGAACTATCAGTATTACTATTATTGGCCTTGTATGTGCCTTTTATTCGAGTATAGGTGGTATTAAGACTGTGATATTGACCGATATGTTTCAAAGTTTGCTTATATTTATCGCCGTGTTCTTAATTATTGGCATAGCTGCGAATGACGTTGGGGGATTGGGACAGATTTGGGAGATCGCGAGGCAGGGGCAACGGCTACAATTTGATAGGTATCGTGTCTACTTTTCTACATTAGTTGCACTTGATGAATTATGTACACATAACATCTAATTGATGTTTTTATTTTTGTTCATTGTTATTTTAGTATCGGCTTGGATCCAACAATAAGACATACCTGGTGGTCTCTTTTGCTGGGTGGTGCATGTACATATTTGATACTTGTCGGGGTGAATCAAGCACAAGTACAGCGTATGCTAACTGTAAAGTAAGTGTTATAATTTTTATAAGTATAATTCTGGATTAAATTAGAAATTATCAAATATTAGCTATATCGGTCAAAGCCTGGATCTTGGACGCTTTAAATAATTTCAAGTGAATTTTTATAAACCACAATTGTAGTTTCTTAAATTGCGCGCCGAATTGATTTCTCGAATTTCTATTTCTATAATATTTCTAAAATATTATAGCAATATTACAAATTAAATTGACGAACAGCTTAATAATTTAGTGCTTAATTTGTATCGTTTTAAAAAGATCTTAATGTACTCTAAAAAAATCTGTAAATAAATTCATAGTATAAAGGCTTAAGATGCTTGTACGGAATGCTAAAGATCCAGATTCGACTCCCGGCCAAGGTAATAATTTTCCTAATAAATTTATTTAATTATTTTCAGTACATTAAACTACAGTATAACTGGTTTCAACCGGTATTGGCATTATTTCTTAGTTATTTGTGTTCACATTACACAGTTCTAATAAATCGTTTATTATTAGTCAAATATATTAGAGTATTTGTAACATTTTACTTATCAGATGAAATTAATCATACAATTTTGGTTTTCTGTGTTCATGTTATTAAATTACTTTCTTTTTTAATATCAATTATATGTTTATTGATCAAATTGATTTAAAAAATTAAAGAAAACGTTAAATAAATTTTGTTTCAGAAATATGCAGGCTTCGCAAAGAGCCATGTGGCTGTCTCTGCCTATTCTGACATTTCTCTGGCTCACGATTTGTTTCTCAGGATTAGCAATATACAGTAAATATTACAATTGCGATCCACTTCTCGAGAAAAGAATTACTTCACCTGATATGGTTATGCCATTATACGTTATGGAAACGATGTCCAACATACCTGGCGTACCAGGCCTCTTTATTGCAGGTAATACTTTTATCGGGAATCGAATATGGCTTCTGTGTATGATGTCTGATAGAAATTATATGTTACAAATTACGGAAATAAAAATATATTAAAATATCAATGTTTGAAATATAATTTTACGCTTAATTAAGACAATTTTAAAATAAATTTGTGGCGGACCCCAATGAGAAATGACAATGAAATCAATATCGAATCGACATCGATTTGATGTCGATTCCATTATCATTTCTCATTGGGACGTGTTTACTAATCATGGGTTCTTTTTTTTATGTATAATCAAGACTACAATAATACGAAATATTGCAGCAATATTTCAATAGTACGCAATATTACAAACATTGCAGTAATATTATAATTTTGTGGGAAATTATATTGCAGCAATATATTGAAATTTTGTAATTGTACTGCAATATATTGTAATTTTAATATTTTATAAAAAATATTGCAATATGTTACTGTCCATATTTCGTGCTGTAGTTGTTATAACACATGTCTAAAAATTAATGAAAAGTAGTCCAAAGAATAGTTAATGTGTGAATAAAAAAAATAAATAAGTTCACATGGAGTAAAAGTTAAATAATGTGAATAATCGAAGTAATATAGATAAAGAAAATCATACGTCTACACTCTACATTATTATGAGTCACAAGTTAAAATTGAAAATATTCATAGCACGATGATTGATGCATGTTAGATACTGACTGTCAGTGCCTGTCCTGCATCATACTATATATATTTTTCATTTTAACTTTTGACTCGTTATGTAAAAACGTATGATTTTTCTATTTACTTAAATTATTTACATTATTTAACTTTTACTTAATTTTATCTAAAGTTTGGAAGATGATGTTTACTTATTTTCTAAGAAGATATTTATTTATTTTCTTTTTCACACTGACACACTGTTTCTTGGACTATTTTTTATTAATTTTTGGACGTGTGTATTAATTACTTCGTACGCATTTTTATAGCATATTCAGGGTTTTTACGCTTATTGTGCGTAAAACTTTAAATAAACTTATTGCGAAAAATATTATCTCGGGACTTGAACCCGGATCTCTTGTATTCTGTACGAGCGTCCTAAGCCATTAGATCACCGTGGTCAGTTTATTTAAAGTTTATTTAAAGTTTTCAGCACATTAACACTCTTATAATATGATATCGGATCGAAGATTGAGAATTTGTTTGTCAATTTAATTTAACTTGTGATATTATTGCAATAGTTTAATTGCGTTTGATAAAGTCCAGAAAAATTTCGGTGCGCAGTTTGAATAACTACAAAAATATATATGCATATAGGATATATGTAGATAATTCACTGTGAATTACATATTTAAGCATTGAGAAGCTTTGACCGTTATAGGCTTGAATATGCTTATACTTAATATATAATACTATGCAATTGAAATTTTATCGCATTAAATTTTGTTTTGATATTTGCATATCAATTTCCGCGCTGACAGTTATATGTTTTTATCAACTTATTTTATTATTGATTAATCTTAGTCTGTTTATGGGTTTTTAGGTATTTTTAGCGCAAGCCTCAGTACAATTTCTGCGGCGCTAAATTCTCTGGCGGCAGTAACGTTGGAGGATTATCTGAAACCCTTATATAAAAAATACAGTGGGCATGAATTGTCCCCTACAAAGTCAGCTTCCATCGTTAAAGTACTCGCTTTCGTGATTGGTATTATTGCCATTGTACTGGCATTTTTATCACAATTTATGGGTAGTCTAGCTCAGGTAATGTTCATTACTATATCTAAATGTAAGACCGATGAAGAGAAAGTAAATATCTCTGGTTCCCTAGACTGTAATGACTATCTTGGGAGTTGTCGGCAGTCCGTTGTTAGGTATTTTTACTCTTGGCATGGGCACGGAATCGGCGACGGAAGTTGGTGCGATAGTTGGTGCTCTCACGTCATTTTCATTTCTATGCTGGATCACATTTGGTCATCCACGTCCTAAACCACCTAAATTGCCAATTACTATCGAAGGCTGTGATAAGAATAGTACAAATATAACGATGTCCATTGTGCAGAACGTCATGAATTTTTCCAAGTAAATGATTTATCGAAATAATTATATGAAAAGAATGGTTTTGCTGAAAAATATAGAAATAGAGGCAAATGCAAATAATATGTTGGATCATTAAAATAATTATACGCTCGAATGTCGATATTTTTTTGCGACATTATCGTCATGCTCTAGAGTGTTCTACAGAATTTTAATGATTCAACATAATTATTTAGTAAACAAACTGCACTTAGTATGACAATACACTAGCAATATATTTGCTATAAGATATTTAATAAGCAAGAAAATAAAATTTAATTGATCTATACCAGTATATTATAATAGATTCCATTTCTCAAACACTCAAATGGAATCCATTATTTAAACGTTTACGAAACGATAGATTTTGCTCACCATTTCGTACAAAAACAATATTTAATGCGATAAGATTTTAATTATATGTTTTAGCTACATTTTTCGAGTCATGTTGAGACCTCCACTTTCCAAATATGTTCTCAACAGATTTTGCTGCCAAGGTATTTTCAAATCTGTATTTCGTCTAATTTTTATATCTATAATATACTTCAGCATAACCATTCTATGTATATATACTCATATAAGATTGTCTAACGGATTGTTGTATCTTCTTTTTAGGAGCAATAGCGACAGCTCGTACTTCTATTTGTATCGCATTTCGTACATGTGGTATTCCCTTCTCGGATTCTTAATAACGTTCTTAATTGGACTACTCATCAGCAATCTATCTCGTTTATTCATCCGGAATGAAAACAGCGAATTAGACACTGATTTATTCTTTCCCGTGATAGCGCGGCGTATACGTTATAGGCGATTTTGTAATAATACAAAAAATGAAGAAAATCTTCCATTAAATAGAAGATATTCTCTCAGCGACGTAATTCACGAAAAAGACGATGCTGTCCATAAAATTTGTACAAAATCCTAATAGTTTGATTGTAATCTTAAATAGGTGTTGACACATTTCGTACGTTAGACTTCCGTACAATCAAAGAAAAGAATGACCCCGATGATGCAATCGATTAAATCTATACAAAATTATGATAGTTTAAATGTAACTTAATATATACTACCGTTCACAAATTCGAAAACGCTTGCGATTTTTTTACATTTTAAAACTAAACGTCGGTGAAAAAAAAGAAGTTTTTAAAAATGCATTTTTAAAAAAATAGAATTTTTTTAACACAGGCGTTTGAATTTTTTGCCTCTAAAATATTTTATATATAATTTGTGAAATTACATAAAATGAAAATTGATATTTTTTAAGTATTTTAGTTTTACTTTTAAGCGCTGTATCTTGATAAAACTATAATTGGACTTAATAAATATTTTAAAGTAGACTTTCTAGCTTTAAAATATTCTTTTTAAAAAATGGTACAATATATGATTTTTCGCAAAGATATCGAACTTCATGTATAAAAATTTTTAGAAATATTCATAAACATCGAAATTAAAAGTTTACGGATAAAGCAAAAGAGAAGCAATGTTTGTTTATAATGTACTTCGATTCGTATAAATTTTTTCAAAAATTTTTAAGAACTTTTTCGATCGTCAATAATTTAAAAAAAACTGAAGTATGTATACATATTTGTATATGTACTTATTATATACTTCTTACAGGATAATACAATAAAGAGTAAACAATATTATTAAATATCTTTTTATTTTTTATTATTTATAATGTGCTTAAGTAAATACAGTATATATATATATATATATATATATACACGCGCATATATATATTATTTATCTAAATTCACAATAATGTTTACAATTGATACACATCATATAAGAAATATATGGAATTGTACATACAAACTTTGTACAAAGCTCTTTTTTATAATTAAATACGATTCTTTTATATACAAGTCGGTATTATTGAAATACAAACTCATGTTCCATTTTTAACATTTCTAGCATTGAAAACTAAAATTTATATTAATATTTACTTATTTATTATATCATGTCCTTGAATTCCTTGGGATAATAATTTATCATCTTCATTAATAGTACAAGACGCTATCATTTCTTTCGACTTTGCAACCTAATTGTAAGCAAAAAATCAAATTTTGTATTAATAATCATTAAATAATATGTACCGTAATATTAAATAATACATTATTTAATATAAAGTAATATTTTATATACACATATATGTATATAACATAGTTACGTTTAATTTAATAGTTAAATTTTTCTTATTAATCTTTTACATGCAAAACAGAACGTAGTTATTAATCAAAATGGATTTAGCTAAGAAATAATAAAATGTAGTTTAATAAAAAAAATAATAACCTTGATTTGCTGAAGTTCTTCGTGTGTAATATCTTTCTTTGAAGTCTTTAAATATTTTCTTATAAATGGTGCTACGACCATCGGATCTAACTTTTCAATATCTTCGGAGGTAATCAAAGTTACGATGAGACCGACACTAATAGTCACTAAAGCACCAGTCATGGTATACCAAAGATAACTGAGCCGAAACAATGCCCATGGTTCCCTATTAAATGTAATAGCTACTACATTACTTGATACAAAAATAAAAAATGTTTTTCAAATGTTCAAAATAGTGGAATTTTCAAACTGCTAAATTTAGAAAAGCCATTAACAAATATTTAAAGAACATTTCAAATGCACGAAATGTAATTCTCTGTAGAATAAATGAACTTTCTCTTAGTAAAACGTGGAATAATTTTTAAAAGAAAAACCATTTCTAACTTATTAATGAAAGGTTTAAGTTATGCAAAAATCAGGAGCGACAAGCACTAACTTCAATAATTAATGACTATTAATAATTTAATATCTAAGAGTTATTAGCAGTTATTTTATGTATAATTAACATTATTTAACTTACTCTCCAACGTTGTTCAAAATTGTATCTGGTGGTACAGATAATAATAAATTCTCTACTTGTGGAAATGAATAAGTACATCCTTCTGTGGTTACGGGTTTCGTATCGAATCTGTAAAAGCGTAAATGTCACGGAACATTCGTAATATTATTATTCCTTTAAAGGGAATAACAAAATATAACAAAATGCAATATTAATTGTGTTATCAATGTTTGCTGGTATCTAAATCTAGAGAAATTATTTAAATAATCTAAATAAATGGCTTCATCTCATCTTTACTAGAATACTATTGTTATTTGTTACGTCCAAGCTCCGGAATGCCAAAGAGCTACGGAGAACTGAAACCAAATCTTAAGGCTCTATAAATAGAAATAAGACACAATTTTTTAAACTTCAATTGTTAATGATTTTTGAACGAACAGCTACTTACAATCTTTTGAAGATTTTCAGGGTGATAACATATCAAAGTCAAGGTCATCGGTGCGGTATCCGTTAATTAAAATAATTATTCATGGAAACAATAATATTCCGCTTCTTAGACAATATTCCGAAAATTATGTTTTGCCTCTTTTGGCGATTTTTCCCAAAACGGAGGAAAAACAAGCATATTTCTAAAGAACTTTTATCTTAGTTTATGAATTCTTGACACGCTTCCAAAGTTTGACCATTTAACAAACAATTTTTATTTAAGACATATATGAAGATAATATAAATATTAGGAAAAGATAAACTGGAGCCATTTAATTAATCTAAATTATCTAGATAATTTCATCCAGATACCAGCAGACACTGTATATTGTATACACATGTATTGATATACATAATATTTTGATATTAACTTAATTTTTCCACTCATGACAGCTGCTTCAGCAGAAAGAATAAGCCAACCCATGAAACTCAAACCTGCTATTCCTCCGATTAGAGCACCCTGTCGAATTTAATTGAATCACTTATTTATTTATTCTCATCAACGAATTTAAATATAATTTTCATCAAGTTAATATAAAAAAAGTTTATCTTTAACACATGCCTTGCCATTAATCCATGGTAATAACATTCCCATGTTGAAAATGCCAAAGGATGGTCCGTTAGTAATGGCGCCTAGACTTATGGACAACTATAACATTCAAATATGAAAAGAAGATTAATTTGCATTTGTTAACTGATGACTCCATGTTTACCTGTAATACATGACTGCCCGCCTGCTCGACGACGAAAACGAGAGCAACACAAATTATTCCTAAAATGACAACCGTCAACTTCATAAAGATATCAGCGCCCCTAGGCGTAAAAGGAGTCTTCATAAAGGGCTTAACAAAATCCTCCAGCACCACGGCTGCCATGGAGTTTAGACCGGTTGATAATGAACTGGAAGAAAGAGATCTCAAACTAATTTTTTAAATATACATACCGAGAAAGAAGGGGGAGAATAGGAGAAGAACGAAAAAAAAGAGCAGAAGAGGAAGAGAGAAGAGGGAACGGTGAAGCGAAGGGAGGGATGAAAGAGAAAAAGAAGGAGGAGGAAAAGGAAGAAAGAAGGGGGGAGAGGAGGGGAGAGGGAGAGGGAATCAGAGAGGACCTTTCCCTGTCTGTCTAGGGGTGTACGACTTTCCACGCGACCGAGGTCCACCTCATAATCAGATAAGGGTTGGGTCAGGTTATCGAACTTGGCAACATATATCAAAATCAAGGTGATTGGAGATGGCTCCTCTTTTCTGAATATTTACCAAATATGTATATAAACATGTATATCTACCTAAGTGCGGCACTAAATACACCAGCTACGAAGAGACCTGGTAGTCCCGGAAAGTTTCCTAAAACGTTCATAACTAACAACGGTAATAGTTGATCCTTGGCTCGTGCTAACTGTATTGCACATAGATGTAATCAGTAATTAATCGCAGCCTTAACATTGAATATGAAAGCTAAATAAATATAAATATTACCTTAGTCGTAAGGGGATCGCATTCATGATACCAAGCATAAATCAACATGCCAGAATATCCACACATAAGTATCAGCATTGTTACGCCGATCATAAAACACCAAAGTGCTCTAAAACGCATAGTTATTAAAAACATTGATTATATTATTATTATATTATGATAACTTGATTATATGATGATATAATTATATATTTATAATATAGCTATAATAATTATAATACTATAACTATAATAATTTATAATATAACCTTAATAAAAAATCGGGAATAGATAGACCATAATAATTAAGTATAACTATTGTTGCATTCATACAAGTTCAATTTTCCAAACATAAAATTACATTGTATTTTGAGTTTACTATACATAATCAATTAAAAAAATTTTTTTAATTACCATCAAAATCAAGAAAACATTTGTCTTTAGACCAAAATTGTAAAAACATTTTAATATCTACAATTTGCGTTACGAATATGTCGCAAAAATATCGCAAAATTGGTTGCAAAAGTAGTTACTAATATATAGTTTTTGTAACATTATTATAGTTGAAAATGTTGAAATATCATTAAACGATTCTAATAAACAACGTGTCAAAATGAAGTGAAAATTTAAAAAATATAAAAATAAATGTTTAGAACAGACTCTCAATCTTAAAATAATAATAACAAAGATATTCAAGGCTAATAAGAGTCAGCGTGGGAGGGAATGCGTGCAATTATTAAATTTCGAAAATTTAAAGTATATAAATTCTATGGTTTTCCACAAATAATTGAAGCGCTTTAGTGGTAATGCTAATACAGGATGTAAATGAATAAATTCTAAGGGCGTATTCCCCATCGATTAAATATTAAAAAAGTTCTCATGAACATGGATCTAGAAACGCTTAGTTTTTTAGATAGGAGGAATTTACACGTAATGAACATTCAAGCATTTTTTAACATTAAACACTAAAATCGCTAAATTTTAGAATTATGAAACATTTTTTTCAATCTTTTTTCTTTACAGTGAATTCTCTTTAGTTAACAATGAATATGTATAAGATCGAAAGCTATGATGCCAAACCATTTTGAATAATTTTTATAATAAAATGTTTAAATATTTATTGAAAAAAATTGAATATAAAATGAATTGCCTATACGAATATTCGTAGTTTAAGTATGTTAGCAATACATTATAGGACGATAAGATATAATTAATAAATAATTGAAATGTATTTATTAATTAAATTAACTGCAAATGTTTCAACTCTGGATTTGACTTCCTATTCATTAAGGAAGT